TTTTAGCTGGCAGAGTTGCATGTTTTCTAGTTAAAAATTTTCATAAAACCTTAGGAAAAAGTACTGACGTGTTGGGAATTGCTTGAGAAGGGCTGAGACACGTATCACCTCTTCTAAAGGGTTCTGAGCCCTTGATCTTCAGCCCTCTCCAAGCCTTGTCACTCTACGTCTTGCAGAAGGCATCTAAGGATCATAGACCGTCAGGCTTGTACGTGACCTTTCAGAGCACCTCATGATACACCTTTATGATACAGACATGAATCTGAATCCAAAGAATCTGAGGCCAAGAGAGAATGCAGACTTCACTGCTGCAGAGACTGTGGTGGGATGAGAAAGCAGTCCTCAGACTCCTAGTTCAGTGCGCTCTCCAAACCTGAGAGGAAGACAGACAAGTGATGGATGGGATTAAAGAAGAAAAGATGCAGCAGGAAAAGACAGCAAAGCTAGATAAAAGAAAGATGGCACAGGGAGAAAGAAGAGACTGAAGGGAATTGAGGGTGAGGTTTCAAGCCTTTGTTAATTTTAAGAGCAAACCTGAAATTAGAGAGTATGGGTTCCCTGGATAAACGGGTCCTCAGAAATGAGCATCTCAAGTTATGTAGGGGAGCCTGCTAAGCATTTAGCTTTTCTTAGTGGCTTAAAAGTGAAGTTTCTAGAAAGAGAAGGCAATGTGATGAGAGATGATTCTTCAGGAGTCATGAGGGATGCAGCCTCGACTTTAAACTGTTTGATGTCCATGGAGGCAATGCATGCTTTTCATTTGGCTTCTTGAGGGTTCCTTCTTGAAGAATAATTAATTAATGGGCTGCTAGAAGCACTCACGGTTGACCAGTGTGCCCCACATCCCTCTGGCAACTCCTTTCCAGGTATTTATTGGACTTCAGTTTGCCCCTGAGACATCACCAAAGAAACAGCTAAATATGCCCAGCAATCTAGAGAAACTCGACCTCCTTTCATAGAAAGGTCCAGAAAGGATATGTGCCTAGCCTGAAGTTCCATAGCTTAGAAGAACAACCCCCCCAAAACTTAGCAGGTGAGGTAGTCTCCCCACGATGGCTGCGATAAGGCCCTTGTATTCTTGTATGTCCATGCTGCCCTCAAATCAAACATGAGTGTCTATTTCCTCTCCTCTTGGACTCGGTTGGTCTTGTGACCACTTTAACCAATAGAATGAAGTGGAAATAATCTTCTAGAAACTTCAAACTCAGTTCTTAAGAGGATTGGCAGTTTCTAGTTCTTCCCTCTTAGAAGCCGGCTGCCCTGTGAGAAGTCTGACAATTCTGCTGAAAGGACAGCTTGCTGTGAGGAAGTCCAAGCTAGCCATATAAAAAGAGAGAGGTTGTGGGAGGCAGATGGAGGTGACTGATGTGTGAGTGAATCCTTCTCCAACCTTCCAGTTCAGCCTAGCTGCCAGCGGCCACCTAAATGCAGCCAAGTGAGTGACCCAAGCCAATGCCCAGCTGAGCCCAGTTGACTCACAGACTCCAGAAGTAGTAAATTTTGGTTGTTATTGGCTACTAGTTTTGGGGTGGTTTGTTATGCAGCAATAGAGAATTAATTGAAGCAGTGACTTAAAAGAGCGACCATGTATTATTTCTCATGAATCTGTGAGTTGGGTGGGTGGTTCTTCTGATCCGGACCAAGCTTGGTTGATCTCATTTGGACTCATTTGTACCTCTGCAGTCAACTGAGGTCTGGCTGGTCAAGGATGACCTCAGCTGTGATGACTCAGCTCTGCTCTCCAGGGTCTTTCATCCTCCAGTGGTCTTGTTCTCCTGGTGATGCCAGAATTCCAAAAACAGAAGTGGAAATGCCCAAAATTTTTTGGAAAATACTTTTTTTTTTGGAGCAGTTTTTGGTTCACAGTAAAATTGAGGGTAAGAAACAGAGACTTCCCATTACCTTCTGCCCCTACACATGCATAGCCTCCTCCATTATCAACACACACACCCCCCAGAGTGGCACATTTGCTACAACTGAAGAACCTACACTGACACCATCATTATCACCTGAAGACCATGGTTTACATTAGGGTTCACTCTTGGTGTTGTTATAGTTTTAGACAAATGTATAATGACATGTCTTCATCATTATAGTATCATACAGAGTAGTTTTGCTGCCCTAAAATCCTGTGTTCTGCATATTCCCCTGCCCTCCCCACAATTCCTGGCAGCCACTGATTTTTTTACTGCCTCCACAGTTTTGCCTCTTCCAGAATGTTACGTAGTTGGAATCATACAGTATGTAGCCTTCTTTCACTTAGTAATATGCATTTGTTTTCTCCATACTTTTTTTTAGCACTGAGTAGTATTCCACTGTATCACAGTTTGTTCATCTGTTTACCTACTGAAGGACACCTTGATTGCTTCCAAGTTTTGGCAATTATGAACAAAGCTGCTATAAACCTCCACATGCAGGTTTTTGTATCGACATATGTTTTCAGCTCCTTAGGGCATATATCAAGAAGCCAACTGCTGAATCATAAAGTAAGAGTATGTTTAGTTTTATAAGAAACTCAAAAACTGCTGTTCAAGCTGGCCATTCCATTTTGCATTCCCACCAGCAATGAATAAGAGTTCCTGTTGCTCCACATCCTTGTCAGCATTTGGTGTTGTCAGTGTTCTTGATTTTGGAAATTTTAATAGACATGTAGTGGTATTTCTTTGTTATACAAACATGTTTTTCAAAACTTCTCTTACCTCAAGTCTGCTATTGTTCCACGGACCAAAGTAATTCATATGGGGGAAGCACAAAGTGGGAGGGGACTACAAAGTCAGAAACAAAGGACCTGAATAAAGGGAAGTATTAATTGGGGTTATTAATGCTATCAAATCTACTATAAGAAATCTATGCCTGTTTCTCATAGGGGAGTATTAAATAGCATTATTAAGATTTTGGACTAAGGTCTGAAATCAATTGGATAAATTATACTTGAAACCAAGTAAAACAATTAGATAAGCATTATCTGAGTTTTAAATATTTCCAGATTTTATGGCCAAGTCATGATTGCTAATGACAGTAATGTTGTTTTATTTCTAATAGTGGGTGACTTTCCCAAATTCCTGTTAATAGATTTCAAAATAGAATCAAGAAGAAATATCAGGTCTTACAGTATGTGGTCCCTAGTTCCATTAATTAATTTACGGTAATGATGATCTTAAGGCTGTTGGTGGAGTTCCTTAGGATCCTGTTTAATAGACTTAGCTCTCTAAATAGCCAGTGGGCAGTCTGCTTTGTGACTTCTCTCTGGAAACCAAAGGCTGTTGGCATCTGTGCTTTACAGAAAGGAATCAAATAGGCTCTTAATGGAAAAGGAGGGCTGTGTGTATACGTGTACGTGTCCATTTGTACATAGTGTGTGTGACCACCTCTGATCCACTGTTTTAAGTTTGGTTTTACCTCTTTTCACCTCCTCTGCATTCCCAGGAAATGCTGAGAACTGACTTTGCATTTTCACTTACTGCCACCTCTCTGAGAAGCAATTTGTTTTCCACTCCTTGGATTTCAGAGTAGATGTCTGAGGAGCAGAGGAGAGACTGGGATTACCATCCCCAGTTCCCAGCCAGCCTGCTACTTACAGTGGTGTGCTGCTGCCCTCTACACAATGATTCATGCCAGGCAGATGAAGGGTTCTTTGATCTGTTTCTTCCCTCTACCTCGCCCTCTTTAGACCCCAAATTGAACTTTGTTAATCTAGTGTTTCCATGAGTCAAAGAACCTGTGTTCTGGCCCTTGCGTCACTTAATGTCTTTGGGTCTCAGTTTTTACTTCTGTAAAGTGAGCATGCTGGACTAGATGTCTGTTCCTGCCCTGAGCTTAGAGGAGTCTAGGATACGCCGATAAAACCAGACACAAGTCACAGGGTCCTAAAAAAAAAAAAGTGATGCCCTAAAACTCCTAGTAATGGTTGGGCACATCTGAAAGAGGTAGGCTGGAAAAACTGTCTAACAGATACATGTTACCAGGGAGTTACTGCACTCTATTCTGAGCTGATACGGTGGGGGTAGCGGGGTGGGAGGTACAAAAAAGATTTCAAAATTGAAGAAGAGTTTCATTTGCTGAGAACTAAAAGAGTATCTCGCCAAACTGTTGGTATCTAAGGATAAGGACCATGAAGTGTTGTTCTTCCTCGTACAGAATGTATCCCACGTTTCCCATCAGTGCGTTTTTTGTTTGTTCTTTAAATAAGGGTAAGGTGGAAGGCAGTGGTGAGGGTAAGAAATATCACCGGCTTTGATTCACCTGGGAGAGATCTGCTACCTTTTATGTTCCTATTAAGTACATTTAGCTATAACTTCCATGATAGCACACCCCCCGCCCCCCGAGAGAGTCCTTTAGACCTGGTCCCTTTCCTCTCCGCAGCTAGACTGAGGTCAGGTGAGATTACGCCCACTCAGCGCTAGGAGTAAGATTTAGCCCGACCCCCCCCCATCACCGCCCCTTGACGTCCCTCCAGCCTCCTCTCTCCTAGGACCTCCAAGCCGACCTACTTCTACCTGTTGGGTAGATCTTACTTCCTGGGAACACTTGCTGTCCTCATACAAGCCTGTCCCTTCCTGGTGAAGGGGGCATCTGTGCTTAAGTGAGGGCTTCGGCGCAAGTGGAGTCCAGCGGGCAGGTGACCAGGCGTTGCAGAGTTCGGCAGCCTGAGGAGGCGGGGAGCCCTAACCCAAACACAACCCTATTTAGTGCGGTTGCAAGACTTTGAGCACCGCCGTGAAGCCCTTGGCCAGCCCTGGAGCCTTCAAGGAGCGGCCAGATCTAGGGGCCCGCCGCAGCCCCGCTCTCCATCTTAGGAACAAGGCGGCGGGACACAGCGCAGTGTCCCCAAGCATCGACTCGGGGGCCCAGTCCAACTGCTGCAGAGGCTCCCGCCGCCGCTACTGCAAACCCGTGTAGCTTCCCTGCAGGGCGTGCGGGGATGGAGCGAGGGGGTGGAGAGAAAGGGAGAGCCGTGGGCGGCCGGCGGGCGGGCCTGCA